TTGATTCTATTAGGCCAAGCTTCTCTGGTTATATTGTCATGGGTTGGAATTATCAATATGTGAAGCCATTTATTTTAGCAATATATTATATACATTCATAGGCATTCATGGGAGACACATATGTGATGAAGACTCTCAGGAAAAACGAACAAATTGCATCATTTCTCTCTCAGCTCAAACATTTGGTTGAGTGGTTGCTCCAAAAAATACTGAAAAAATCTACTAAATTTTGTCCTTCGTGGTGTTGTTAAAATGTACATCTAGCTTTTCCTTATATTTTATTTCTAAACTAATTCTAGCATAATGAGTGCCATATTTACAGACTTATACATGTATCTATATATATAAGCAGTTCCATAAAATTTATACTAGATCAACATTTTAAAATTCTCATCATGTTTTGGAAAATTAAGCAGGTATGAATATTTATAATCTGCAATTTTGATTGTTGATCAAATCCAGAAATATATGCTTATGATTGAGTGAAATTGACCTCACTCTATCTCATATATATATAACCATTAGTATGTGAAAAGGTCTTTATGAGACACAATTTGGTTTGCAGGTGCAGAGACGGCTTGCACAAAATCGTGAGGCTGCTCGCAAAAGCCGATTGCGGAAGAAGGTAGGAATTAACCTGTTCTCTGCATCTAAACAGAGTTACTACTTGTAACAAGTGGTTTTATTTAGTATTTTGTTTTATAGGCATATGTTCAGCAGTTAGAAACAAGTCGGCTAAAGTTAATTCAGTTAGAGCAAGAGGTTGAGCGAGCTAGACAACAGGTGGGTAAAACTTCAGCCTTTTTTTTCTGTTTAGCACATAATGTTACTACATCTTTTAGAAACTATTTTATTGTGCCTCATTTTTAGCATCTATTCTTTTGGATTTCTAGAATTCATTCAAACATGTGCATTTCACTCTACAGGGTCTGTACATTGGTGGTGGTGTAGAAACTGGCCATTTAGGGTTCTCTGGAGCTGTAAACTCAGGTTTGTTTTCCGAAATAATAGAAGCATTCATTTTTTATTCTCATATCACCTCAGATAATTCTATAACATGGAATTAAGTCTTTTGTTTTTTGTTTGTTTTTTCTTTTTGGTTTTCTACTTGACGTGTAGGAGTGCATATTCTTGTTTTACTAGAAAGGTACAAGGTAGAGAATAAGATATCTTCTTCAACCAGAAAAAGGAAGAGAAAAGGAAAAAACCACATAAAAATCAAGAAAAGACAATACCTTATCATAGTGTCTCTGCAAAATAGCCAAAGAGATGGCCCTAAAGAATTTGTGATCCATTGCCCTTTACAATTGGGAATGCATATTGCTAAGATACAATCTAAATAATAACTTGGCGTTTTACTAGCTTAAGTTTTTGAATAATTTAATCAGAATCAGTTATTTCAAATAGAACCTGAGCCAGGTTCTTAGTCCTGCCCTTGGGAATTTCATCTCTCTTCTATTATTTATTCACACATTTCTTTATTCACTATTCCTTGTGATTAATTTAATTTTAGAGGTCTAGTATTGGAAATCAAACTATTCTATTTTGTTAATCACAAGTTAGGGTAAGTTTGATGCCTGATCCACTTCCAGCCTAATTATTTTGCGTGTAAGATGTATTAGTATATAACTAATATGTTGAGTCATTTGCTATGAGCTTAAGCTTTGCAAAAAATTTACTAGAATCAATTATTTCACATGTATCACAAAGAAGGAAAGTGTGGCATTCTCAATTGAAATTTTTAACATGTTCCTTAAAAGGCTAGATAAAAGCTGCAGTCAGATTGTAAAATTAAACATTTCAAAAAGGAATCATCACAAATAACAAGAATTATTTTATCAATCATTTTGACCAGTCATATCGTGATCCCCATAGTATGATGGGAAAATTCATCCTTCGGGGAATAAGATTAGACTCTTGATGATTTTGGTTGGGAGGACAAAACTAGTTACTGCTCTGCATTTCCTTGAATGATGTTAACATATCTTTTCCCCTTTTCATTAGATATCTCTAGGTTCATATTTTGGAAAATTAATGAATTGTTCTTGTTGATTGCTCAAAAACGTAAAACACGCAGTTATGACCATCTAGATTTATATGCTTGTCTAAAAAAAGAATTACTCTACTCTTATGCAGAAATTGGGAAATAAAAAATTTATCTTCATAATATGAAGCAAAAATTAGATCTACATGGTGAAATGAATAGTTTATATCTATGTAGTAGTTAATTTGAGTGATTAACTATTACAAAAATTTAAGTTGATAGCAAATTTTTCTATTTTATTATTTATGTTCTATCATATGCCCTTTTACATGCAAACGGAATGCCAAGCTTAGTTTTGGTCACAGCCAAATGGGTGAAAGCCCTTTGGCCTAACTGTGGGCAACAAGTGGATGATTACTGCCTACCAGAGAAGTAAGAGGAGGAGGAGGAGGAGGAGGAGGAGGAGGAGGAGAGGGGGTTGGTTGGGGGAGAACTACTTACCCCTTAAGTAGTTAAGTTGGACTACTACTTATCCTTAAAGCTTAAGCTGTAAAACTAACATAACAACTTTAATTATATTATTCACTGAGCTCCTTCTGGAACTGTCTGTTTAACATGATAATTATGCATATCTCTATTTTTTCTCATAATATTTCTCATGCACTTGAAAATTTCATTTTAGTATTTATTGTATGACACATACTTCATTTTCAGTATTTATTATATAACACAGGCAATTCTCTAATTCATGTTCACTGTGATCTGTATTCTTTGACATGCTGACCCTGCAGTTAACATTGAAGCAACCTGCATCCTTGTTTTGTCTGAAAAACTAATCCATGCCAAAAATTTTGCAGGAATTGCTGCATTTGAGATGGAATATGGACATTGGGTGGAGGAGCAAAACAGGCAGATTTGTGAATTGAGGACTGCATTGCATGCCCATATAAGTGATATAGAGCTCCGCATACTAGTCGAAAGTGGCATAAGCCACTATTTTGGACTTTTCCGTTTGAAGTCAACTGCCGCAAAAGCTGATGTGTTCTATTTAATGTTTGGCATGTGGAGAACTTCGGCCGAACGCTTTTTTCTGTGGATAGGAGGATTTCGCCCTTCTGAGCTCCTTAAGGTGATCTTTAATATAACTGTTTTCAAGAGAATATCATTTCTTTTGTGTTTAGGTATTGGGTTGAACTAGGCGCGTTCAGAATTGAATACATCATCGTCAAGCCACAAAATCTAGATTTGACTTGATTTTAATTTAAGATCCCAATATTTTACTGGATCGCATAAACCAGACATGATTGAGAAAGCACGACCATATTTGACTTATTTTTCTTCTTTTTCTGTTTCTTTTTTTGGTGGGGAGGGGGTTGAAGGGGGGTGGTTGTTTAAATTTTCAAATTTTATTTAAATCAGTAGCATTTAACAGTGCTTGCTAATTATGCAGGTTTTAAATTAATGATGCAGATGGCCTCTCTGTTCTAACTTGTTTTGCATTTAAAAGTTTTAATTTGCGTGTTCCCTCAAACTTTCAACTCATTGATCAGCATAATTCTATTATTTGAGGTACCTTTTTAGTTTGGTTGGACCATTAGAATAATTTTTGAGACTAGCATCATCCTGGGTCTTGTTTCAATATAGAAAACTAGGGATCACCAGGAGCATCATAGCTTTTGAGAACCTCTTTTTGTAGCTGCATGATTAATATATATAGCAGAATAGGACCCCGTTCATAAAACTGAATTTTATGACTTGGGAATTTTCTGATAAGACCTAGATGCTAGAAACAATATTATACATAAACAGCAATTTAAACATTCACATGCATGTCACACTAATGCTGTCTACAGATACACTTGACATATGATATAAAATTAATGTTCTTTGGAGGAATGTAAATTGTGTTGACCCAGCTCAAGGATTGATTTACTGGTTGATGACTTGTTCTGTTGTTTCTTCTTGTTGTGAGAACCTTGTTCTCAACCATTCCTTTTTTAAAAAACAGCCACACTTTCTGAAATACAATATATTATGCTTATTGCATATTTCTTAATGGAATTCTGGTCCAATTTCTAAAAATGCAGAACAATTATTGTCCCTAAACTTTATGTTGATTACAGGTCCTTATTCCACACTTTGACCCCCTGACAGATCAACAACTTCTGGATGTTTGTAATCTCAAACAATCATGTCAGCAAGCAGAAGATGCTCTTTCTCAAGGTATGGATAAACTCCAGCAAACTCTTGCTGAGACTGTAGCAGCTGGTCAACTGGGGGAAGGAAATTATGTACCACAGATAGCTAATGCAATGGAGAAGTTAGAAGCTTTAGTCTGCTTTATGAATCAGGTATTATGTGTTTCCCTTGCCTCATCAAATGATTTATACTAATTTCTCAACATCATTGTACTTGAGGTTTTTGTCAGTCTTTCTATTCTTTTTTCTTTTTGTTATCCATATTCATGTTGATCAGTTGGTACTTTGTAGATTTTGATTATAGGATGCTTTCTAGGAAATCATACATTTTTCAACATGTTGAAGCAGTTGAGCTGTTACCTATAACTGATATTTTACTCACAACTCTTCATTTTTATCCTGGGGGTATTACTATTACATGTGTTTTCAGTTATTCTCTAGTTTTGTAGTTGGAAAGAAAACACACTCCAAATTTGCTAGTTGTGTTCTTATTTAGGATTTTCAAGGGTTCTTAATAGAGCTCTAATTGGATCTAAGCCCATGTCTCTCCATTGAAACAAGTGGTACAAGATGCTATAGTTAAAATTCTTTTTCTCAAGTCTTGTCTTTGTTTCTTTGGATGGGACATTTGAATTTGAAGTTACCTTCATGTCTTTTTCCAAAGGGGGTCATTGCTTGTATTTCCATATTAGTTATTGAGTTTGAACTTGCAAACTTGCAGCCTAGCTGAAAATAGCTCAGCTGAAGTTTCTGAAAACCAAGGGGTTTAAGACAGTGAATGCGGCAGCAAATACCCAGTTTAAGCTAACTAGGGTAAACAGTCTACTTTTGTGTATCCATCATTATTTAGTCATTCTGCTTTTTAGAACAGTTGCATAAATTATCTTTGTTATATCATTCTTTTTTCAAATCTGAAAGGTCTGCTAGTTATGTTGTCCCATTGCAAGATGTAATCATCTGTTCTAGTCAGCTGGACAGCTGACCATATTGCACCCTGAAAGAACATTAATCATTAACTGGTTAGTTAAAAGAGATTGGATCTTCAAAAAGTCATACTAGAGCACCTGACTGGGATAATTATTAAATTTGGGTAGAACCTGAATAGCATTTGTGTTTTATTTGGGTTATACTTTTAAATATAGTCTGAGTCAGCTTTATGAACATATCTAATTTGCATGTTCACCAACCATGAACTTTCTCATCTGAGCAGGCTGACCATCTTCGCCAGGAAACTCTGCAGCAGATGTATCGCATCCTAACAACCCGCCAAGCAGCTCGAGGCTTGCTTGCCTTGGGGGAGTATTTCCAACGACTACGTGCTTTGAGTTCGCTTTGGGCCACTCGTCCTCGTGAGCCTGCATAATAGTTGGAAAACTTACATGAACACAAACCTCTGGAAGATAATCACCTACTGGAGCTGGGGTTCTCCAGCCAAACTTGTCATTTTAGTTATGATGTTAGAGACATGGTCTAAGCTGCCAAAACTTTTCAAGCTGCCTCCAAACCAAAAGTTGTATATAGGAAAAGCCATTGTATTGAGAAGAAAGATTATAATTAGGTGAAATCTTCAATGCTTGTTGTAAAATACATTTGTCTTTCTTAAAGACATTATTTATTAGATAAATATACATAGGTTTCCCATCATAGGTTTGAATTGACTTTGTAAAATTTTGAATGGCGGTGGTTATGAAGGTTGACCAGATACTTGATACGGTCATGTATTCTGTAAAGCTGTTTGTTTGTGCATCAGAAATAAATGGACGCCTTAGTGCTGTTGCATTTGGCAGTTGTAAGAAACGATAGGTCTGATTATGGGATGGTCTTCTTTAAACCTGTAAAGGAAACTTTACCTTGATGTTAATAAGAAAGAAGTCAATATTTTGACTGAACGCTTCATTTTTATCACCTGATTCTTATCAGGATGTCATGTATTTTCAAAGTTATTTTTCTAGTTGTTTTGAGAGTGCATAGCATTTATCTGTATTTGCTGGAACATGATCAGAGCAGCCCATTCTGGAGATGCTCATGCGGTGGAGACTGCCATTCTAGGACTCTTGGGTGGGATGACTTAAGCTTTTACACTCAGGTTACATTTAATTCAGATCTAATCTTCTTTTATTCTATTGCTTATTTAATAGAAATTAATCATAATTTACAATATTGATGCATATGTAAATTAACTTTGCTATATATTTAGTTATGCCAATAACGAATTTTGTATTCTCTAAAATGGAAAAAAAAGGGAGATGATTGCATTAAAATGGAAACCAAAAACCTTTACTACAACTAAAAAAAAAAAAAACAGATTTCTATATATTGTATCCAATTGAACCACTTAAATATCATAATTTTCGTCATGAATGATTAGAAACCAATCTTCTGGATTCATATCTTATCTAATGTTTAGCTTCTAATCCAAAATCAATAGTGCAAGAACTTCTATCTGCAGGATTTGAAGAATTTTCTATTGAATTAGATAATGATTAAAAGTCAGACCAAAAAAAAAGAAAGAAGAAAGAAGAAAGAAGAAAGAAGAAATTAGCTAATACTTTATTTCGGTACAAACTGAGCTGCATTGCTGTATTTAGAAAAAAGGATAGGTATACAGGAAATAATAATAAAAATCTAAATCAAACTGAAGGTGGAATTAACTCAGAATTACACTATTATTTCCATGCAGATTTTCATTAAATTTGTATTTTGTTCTTAGTTTAATACTTTCAATTTTATGTCACATTTTTGGGAAGCAATTTTCATTTTCAATTATCACAAACATATATATAAACGCCTGAAAAATATTTTTAAATGTTCCGAAGGATAGATGTATAATTGCCTCCTGTTAACTTATCATTAGGCGTGCTATATGATGGTACAATGGAATGGAAAATCAAATATGTATTTTCCTAGCTTTGAGGAATTCAATCTTATTCTTTGAGGATAACCCAATAACCTTTTAGCTTTAGTCGGGAACACAGAAATATTTGCTTTAGTAATGTTTTTGCACATCTCGGCAGCCAGTTTCTTTCTTCTAACACTCGTTAAACCAAGTAATACAAAGAACCAAAATCATTCAATAATTCCCAATCAATTACTTTTACTATCAGAATAACTCCGATCGCCTCTTCTGTCATAATGGACCATTCACCACAGAATTAGAACCCTTCAAAAATAAAGTTGGCATCTTCCTTCATTTTCTATGTGGGAATTCTCTTATAAATTGGTGCTTATTTCCCAAAACCGTTTCTCTTTTTTACGAAGTTCTTCATAGGGACAACCAAAACTTAATGGAACATATTCATTGGAATCCCACAACTTTCCAATTATAAGCAAACATTCACCCCTTGGAATTTGGATGGCTGCCAACTGCTAGTAGAGATGGCAAACCATCCACCTATGATGGGCTTGTTATTTTTACCTGCCTACTACACTAGGAAAGAGTTACAAATACAGGTGGTGGGATGAAAGTTTTTAGAATTTCTACAATACGATTTAGTGGTAGAACATCAGATAGAGAAAATACTCCACCCATTTTACGTCCGCTATTTTTGCTTCACTATTTTTTTTTCTCAAGAAAAAGAACTTTGTGTAATCATCATAAACTTTTCCTACATAAAACTAATTATATCAAATTATTCCATTTTTTGAATTGAAATAATTAATCTCCTCTAGCTTTATATTATATTAAATCAATACACTAAACGTTTTTATTTTGTTGAAGTAAATTGGTCCTGATTGTTTTCTTCTTCTCAATCCTTCTTTAACAACAATAAAAACACTAATATACTCTCCCATAAAATTAAAATACCTGTTAAAATGAAGAAATAATATGTAATAATTACCCCAACTTTTTTTTTTATTTTTAATATAAATATTGTATTTTAGTTTATATTTAATTTTTTATATTTTTTTATTAAGTTCAAATTATTATATTTAATTTTTAAATTATTTTTCAGCAATCTATATATATATATATATAAGGAATACCAAAATTTACCAGTGAATTTCTTCATTTTTTCAAATAGTTTTAATTTTTAAATATAATAATGAAATGAAAATAATAATATATATTTTAAAATATAATTTTATTTTTAGTTCACTACAAGGAATCACTGGTTATATAACTTAATAAGAAAATTTTATCCTACTTTAGTTAACCAATTTTAATCGGTTACTGCCATTAATATATATTTTTTCAAACATTTTTTATATTTTAAATTATATAATTTAATTGTAATTTAATAAAAAAAAATTTATCCTATTTTAATTAAAATAATAATATTTATAATAGTGATCTATTCAAATTTTTTAAATATAAAAAAAATTAATTTTAATAGACTACAAAAATAATAATTATCTATTTAAATTTTTAATTAATTATAAATTTTTAAATTATATACTATATATGATTTATTTATTTTTCAGACCCCATTTTATTAAGTAGATCTTATATCAAAAAATAAAATATAATAATCTTTTTATATTTCTAATAGAAATCATTTTACTTTTTATAAAACTTTTGTTCACATAAAATAATATTTATATTATTTTTTATACAATTATTGAAACTCTTTTAAAATTATATTTATGTACATAGCACAGCCTAAAATTTAAGTTATCATTTCATTATAAACCAAATTAGGTCATTTGATGAGTAGAGCACAGATCTTTTTCTCCCTAGGATGGATTTAGGGCAACTTTTTCCAACAATCCAAGTCTACAAGATCGAGATAGAAAAAATATAGCTAACTATAAAATGGTCCAAAAAGAAGTCATGAGCTAAAATAAAAATTCAGAAATGCACTTTTATTATTGAAAATGAACATTTAGGAGAGTTTGTCATCTCAGACCTCTATGGATATGGATGATCCTCACAACTTTGATACAGCATAATCCAAGGTGTCCACAAGAAAATCTGCAGATAGAAAAAAGAGAAAATCATAAAATTTTAGTGTTGTGAAACATCAGTATGTAAATGCAATGATGCAAGAAATAGAATGGACCTGCATCATCCTTGGTAAAACACATAGGTGGCTTTATTCTGAAAACATTTCCATGGAGTCCACCTTTCCCAACCAATACACCGAGTTCTTTACACAGGAAAATACCAAACTTGTTAGTATGTTCTGAACCTCTTACGAGCTATTCTCTACTTTAATGCATTTATTCCTACCTCTAAGTTTCTCAAACAACACTGCAGTTTCCGCCTTGGGCTGGTGTCTTCTCCTTCCTGTCACTCACAAGTTCTATCCCTACCATCAACCCCCTTCCCTCTTACGTCTCCAATGACTGAAACAAAATTTAACAAATACCATAACGACTTAAAAATTATTGAAACCAACCAAAGAAATAAAAACAAATTTCTCAATCATCTCTCTGTTCATTTTTTCACATAGACAATATACATCATTATCCATATTATCAGCTCTACATGAATAATTTGAGAGAGTAGCATTGCCACTCCTTCAGTACAATCTAGTTACTCAAAATTCATTTACTACCCTACTTGAGATGCCACTGCATATGTAGATTCATGCATGCCAACAACTTAACCGCTACTCCTAAATGCAATTTTGGATAAAAAAGAAATACTGTTTTATCATTTTGCGAACCTTGAAATAATAAACTGTTTTGAACTCAATCTAATCTGAATTGAAAAACAACAGTGGGTAAAAAAGTCAGGATTGAAATTCGAAATCCCAAATAAAAACATAGCTCAAACTCCAAAAAGAGGAAAACAGGGGGTTCAAGAGAATGTACTGTCATGTTTTTGCTGTAGATCTCTCAACCGGCCAATCAGGTGTGTACCAACCTCAGCGCAATGTGCTTGACGCTTTTCTTTATCAATAACTCTAAGCACTGCAAGTCCACCAGCAGAACAAACAGGATTACCCCCAAAAGTATTGAACTGAATTTTCTGAGCCATTACGCTTGCTATTTCTGGAGTTGTCACCACAGCTCCTAATGGTAATCCATTACCAATACCCTGATAATACATTTGTGAAATGAATGGAACGAAGAAAAATTTTTAAGACAGTGAAAACAATTGAAAGACTTAGTTCCTAAGGTAATCTCAGTGATATTAATATCAAAGCATGTCTTTGACATTCTTGGAGAGAAAAATGAGACAAGAACTTATGATTCCAAGAACCTTTGCCATTGTAACTATGTTAGGAATGACTCCTTGTGTCTCAAAACCCCAATAATGGCTTCCAGTACGACCAAATCCAGTTTGCACTTCGTCAGCAATGCAGACACCACCAGCCTGGCGTACAATGTCATAAACCTGTTTCAAATAGCCTGGGGCTAATTCAACTGCTCCCCCAACGCCCTAAAAATTT